AATCATAAAAGCCCTCAATTTTTCTCAAAATGTGCATTGAAAAGTTTGTAAAGTCCTTTTCATCGAAGGAAGATACTGGTTGAAGTATGCCAATAAGTTGATGCCAATAAGTCTACAAGATAACAATAAGCTCACAAATATTATCACCTTTTTCAATGAATATGGTTTCATAATAATTTTTGAATAGAAGATGTTTAAAAATTTTGCGGGGAAATTTTTTTTATATAAAACTTAGAAGATATACAATTTATGCATAATGTGCCTTCATTCTTCTCATCGTAGGTAATTAACAATACATTGACATATTTTAAAGTAATTTTAAAATTCAATATGAAACATTATGATATAATACATTAAGAAAACAATTCAATATAAATCTTCTAATAATATGATGCAATAAGACAATAAATAACACTTTGAATAAATTTCTTTGGCATGTACTCTCCAACAAGATCAAGCGTTGACAAGATTTGCTGATAGTTAGGGGGGTGCTAGGTACAAAATATCAAACAATCTCCTTTGCCTAATAAAAGGCAACCGGCTTTTGGCGTTGTACATTGTCAAAGTGTTTTGTGTAAAAATACAAAATCCTACAAAATTAAAATTTAAGACATATAACTTGTATGATCAAGTTAAAGTCTTTGCTAGAATTTTGGAAACTAGAAATTAATATTATCCTACAAGAAGAAAAAAGAAAGAAAAAAAATTGTTACAAAATAATTTAAGAAAGAAAATATTTGGTTTTCTAAAAATGTGAAAAATATGTGTTTGTGTGTGTGTGTCGTAGTACTTCTGTGCTAAACTATGGTCAGAGGATCGTGGTCGGTATAGAAAATATGCAAAAACCCAAGCCAGTTTCTTGACCATAGTTGAATCCCCTAACAAAAATAAAAAAAAAAGATAAAATTTTGAGGGGTTGTTAGGAGTATTACCTGGAGGGGGCGGCTTCGGCGTGTGTTATCACTTCTTACTTCCTCTCTAAAGAGAGGATGCAAGAAGTAATACACATAGTGTGATATGTCGTGTCGAAAACAGTATAGCAGACACTCGTTTTTATTGATAATCTGGTATGAGGGCCAGATTTTCAATGATGCAGTGCACAAAGTGGATTAGTGCAATACAAAAAGTGGGTTAGAGCTTTTCATCAAAGGGGCCCAAATTTTTGAACGGAAAAATATCAGTTAAAATTTTATGACGATAGTTTTTGTTTAAAAGTTAATATGTTTTGTATTTTCAAAATTGTATCTTTCACATTTTGCTGCTCTAATGCTTGTTCTTTCATCCTGCTCACCCATCCTTTCTTTTGAAGGGGGGGGATATGTAAGATATAACAAAATATGATAGCTGTTTCAAAAAATAATAGGCGACCTCAAAATTAACATTCTAAATTTGGTGATCTGCCCCTAAATTCATCTTTTCTCACAGGTTCCAAATTTTTCTATGTTACGTGACGTTTTAATGCAGATACCTCTTGTCCAATCAAATTAATTGTAACTCTGAACTGAAACTTTTCCGCTTCCCAGCCTTCTTCCTTCTGAAGTTCTATGATACTCTTCCTTTTTTTCGCATAAGCTCTCCTACTGGCATGATGCTTTTCATCCATGCTGCTGCTGCTTACATGCTTAAGATGATGTCGTACTTCAAAATGCAACTTTTGTATTCAAATATAATTAGGAAACATCTTATCTGCAAAAGCATGGTTTGATATACGTAAAAAAAAAATAAAGATTGTGATTCTTCAAGATACGTTGTGCTAAATTGCGTCATCATGCTTTCCACTCAGCCACCTTCAAGCCACTACGATCTTCTTTCAAATAATTTTAACAAAGTGGCTAAACCACATTTAATGTTATCGCTTCCAACAAATATACCAAATTTCGAAACGTGCCAATATATAAACTCACGTATATTTTCGGAAATTTTGAATAAAAAACTGTGATTTTTTACAGGAATATTTAAAAATGCATTTACATTAAAATGATGGTAAAAATTTTATAGATTATAATTTAAAATGTTTTCCGAAAAAATCATAAAATTATTTAAAAATACAAATTTTAAAAATAAATCATAAAAAGTCCGCGAATTTGATTTGGAGTGAACCTAAATTTCGAAATATCAAAGGAAGAATAAAATAAGTTTAATAAAAAAAGAGATATTAATAAATATACACCAAAAATTAAATTAACAATGAGGAACTAAAATTTTGAGAGCTACTTTTTTTAAAATTTACTCAAGCAATTTTTACAAAACTTGACAGTTTGGCATAATTTGAGTCGTAGAATCGAAATATGGAAAAAAATTGGCATTTCATTTCAGAAAAAGTCCGATTTTGTGTTAAAAAACCTATATTAGAACAATGCTATATGTAAATCTAATACATATCCTAAGTTGCGCGTTCGAGTCATGAAAACCACAAGTTGAATTTCGTCAATCGGTCCAGTAGAACCGGAGATACAGAAATATCCCCCTTTTTTCCCCCTCAGTGTACATGTGCCAATTAAACTCAATGTTTTCCTCCAGTCATCGCTTAAATAAGCATATTAATCTACTTTTATGAAGCTTTAATTCATTTTCCCCTGATGAGTTCTAAATTAAAGTTTCAATAAAGGGAGATTAAATTTTATATTTATATTTTCCTTTTTTGCATTTTTAGTTTCCGAGTTTATACTACTATGATCATTTTTATTTTGAAATATTTCATTTTATATTGAACCCCTTTACCAAGGATGCAATTATTAATATTGTTGAGGAATCGCCTTGCTTTAATCAGACTGTATAATATGATTAATGATCCTAATAACACTAATGAGTTATTAGGATCATTAGTATCATCAGGCTAATGATCCTAAGACTAATCTGGCAGATTAGTCTAATTAATGACCTAAGACTAATCTGATCAGACTAATGATCCTAATAACACTAATCTGATACGCTATTGGTCGTCGATTGCGTTTTTCGCAATGTTTCAGTTCTTTTCATAATCGTTTCCTTCGGCGTATGGTGTGGGATGTGTCTTGATTAATAAATCTGCAATATAAGACCCTAGTAAGATAGAAACGAGAGTGGTGAATCACGATTGCAGTTTTTAGCTCCTTATATGAAGACAGTGAACACGTTTTTCACTTTTATAGTTTTTCCCCTATATAAAAGAGGGGACAGTTCGGCTGTAAGTTGTTATGTTTATCGTATTTTCTCATGAAATACCATCAGAAAATTTCAATCAATATATGTAATAATTGTGAAAAATCCGATAAGAACACTTACATGGCTGCAATAGCTTATACGCTATTTTTCACAATAATAAATTCTTCGAAGCAAGGAATTTAAACATAATAAAATCTGAGTAATAAGAACATTTAAATTTCTCCATTTGAGAACTTGCATAAAACCTAATGGGAACACGTTTTGTTTCTCTGTATACATTTAATAACTATATAACTAACATTTACTGCATAAAATGGTAAAATGTACAGATTCCACTTAACTGGGCCTTGCTAAAAAAAGCGTACGTTTAGGTAAAAGAACGGTTTTAGTTTGTCGTAGATTTTGAATAAATTTCAAACGATTTCATAGGCAATGAGACGCTGTTGGTGACTATTCTTCTGCATGAAAAAAACACTTTCTACTAAGATTGCATTTTTGACTAATTTTAAATTATATATCAGCGTTATTTTCTTCCGTCAGATTAACTCTTTTGGTTTGGGAGCGTAGAAAAATTTATACAACAAAACATCAAATGATGCAAAATTTCTATCGAAAATGCAAAAGTTAGAAAATGAGTCTGGCAAAAGCAGTAACAGCGGATGATATGATACTACTTACGACTTGATTTGCTTTTATCCACATAATGCATTCCCAATCACACGTTTTAAAATTGTCTCTATATAATCTAGAAGATGTAAATGCTGTTAAATGATCCTTTAAAAAATAGTTACTAAATTCTAAAAATACATTAAACATACTCCTATTGATTTCCAGATACTCGACTCGTAATAAAATACAAGTCTGACAAAAACAGCACATTGTTCTTTTTGCTTTGAAACGTGTTCTTACTAGCCTATTTTAATTTACAAAAGCAAATAAACTTATTCTCAAAATTTAATTGATAAAAAATATAGGCTAATTATTAACTAAACACTTTTAATTACAATATACGTTATTTATCTTTCATGTGCCTTATTAACTTCTTCACTGCCAGCGTATGATACATGTTACGGTCAGCTTCCTTCCGTAGTCCCATCGTATCATATTTGATACCATTAAACGGAACGTTTTATTTTGAATTTTAAATTCACATAAATTTTGTCAAAATGCTGCGAAAATTTAATGAAGAGAATCTCTAGCGTATTAGCATTTTTCTGATTTTGTGTTTGTTTTATTCTGTGCAAGTAAAATGTCCGACGATAAAAATGCACGTTCATAAATGTGGACACGCTTCTTGCAGCGCTAGCGCCTTAAAAGTTTTGCAGGTAAATATGGCAATAGCATATAATAAACACTTGCGTTTAAATTCTTAAGAATTTTACTTCATTATTGTTTAGAAGCTATTTAAATTTGTTAATATAATCATTCCAGGCAATTAATATTTTATAATATTAAGCCGATTTAATATTACACTTATTGAGAAATTTTATTTTAAATTTGAGTACCAGGAATTTCTGTTTATGTTATAACTACTATTAATTAAGTAACGTATGCATGAGTCCAAATATTTATATAAAATGTAGGTTTAATGGGAATTATTTTCACATGCCAGGCTTAACTGCAAAATATGCTCAGGCATACAGTAACGTTCAAATGGAAAATGTCGCTCGCACACGGAGGAGTTTCGTTAGCTCGATGTCGAGAGTGAAGAGGTTAAACTGCTACATACATAAGTCTGGATTTGTATTAATGGTGATCAATAGTTAAATTAAACTCTTCGGTTAATTTGAAATCTTCTGCCCATAAATGTTTGAAATGTAAATTTTTTAACCAATCAAAAAATTAGTAACAAGGAATATTTTCATATATATTTATACAATGCTTGTTCACAGGGGCGACACAGTGTCTGCACGTATGATACAATGTCCACAGGGGCGTCAAAATGTATATTTATACAATGTTAAGCCAATAAGGAATGAAACTTCAACTGCAGTTTTCCCCAGAAACAATGCACATTTCTTCCCAAAGTTTGGAATGGTGTAAAGAATTGTTTGGCACCAGTCTATAAAATGAGTTATTCCTTTTCAGCGAACAAAAGCTGAAACTTGCGATTAAAACATTGAATCTTCCTAGTATTCAAAGTGTAAGTCCGTTTTTGATTCATATTATCAGCTTTTAAATATCAAAAGTCCTATTTTAATTATTGCAATCTCAATACTATCAGATTTTAAAGATCAAATTTATCTGAATCTTCTTTATTTACTCGTAATCAGAGTTCATTGAAAAAATTATTCTCTAGCAATGAAACGAAGTTTCACATTCGTCGGATTGCAAGTGAGGCCAAAAATTGTTCCGTATTCTATTTTTTCTCCTTCTGGTAGAACTTTGAACTTCTGCATTATAGTAGTAAAGTAGTGCAGTAATGATACCAAAGCCACCATTTCACCAGGGCAACTTCTTTTTCCTATTTAATAAAAAAAAAATTATATTAGTATGTAATATTTTATACAAGAGATTGCTAAGAATGAAAACTGAAACCATTTAATAAATGTATCAAGATAAACCATGAAGCTTAAGTTTTATTATTCAGTTCTAAATTCCAAACGCGATAAATCTAACACCAGAAAAAAGTTACATCCCTTGAAAATAAACGAATGTGTTTATTCTTGCAAATCTTTACGGTTGGTGATTCTACTGTAGCAGCTACCTATAATATTGCATATGAAAATCAAACAAATCATATGCAGTCGAACTCTGCAACAATGAACTTCAAGAGATTGAAAGTTTTGTTCGCTATATCCGATCCAATAGAAATATTATTACACGAAAACATGTAAAAATTAAATAGGGACTACAGAAAAAACTCATTAACATTCTAACATCTACCAAAAGAGGTTAATAATAAATTTAATTTAAACAAAAATATTATTAAAATTTTATTGCAATTATTATTACGTGCAGTTACCAAATTTGCTAATCGTGATTTTCCAGTCTGTGGGGAAAAAATAAAAATTAAAGTGTTTGCGGCAAATTCACACACACTTTAGTGTCTGTGGTATTTAAAGCCTTCATTTGCCTTTATCTGAAGCATTTGTCCAGATATTGGCAGGGAATGGCTTCTTTGAATGACGAAATATTTCAAGAATCCTTCTTCAACATCTCTACCTTTCTAAACTCTTTCTTTGCACCCGAATGTTTTCCACAAGCCGGAATAATAGAATGGGATCAGATGCAGATTTAGATCAATTGCATTTCTGGAAGGTATAGATTTGACTGTACCAATTTTTGGTTTTTAGAATAAAGTTCACTATATCTTCAGGGCAGAAGCTTTACATTTACAGTTCGCCATGAGAATTAATTTATAAAGAGCATCTTATGTATATAAAACTTACGGAAGGGAAAACTAATCCTATTTTGATGTAAGAACTTGATGAGTATTTACACTCAAACGAAACAAATCGACAAGGATGAAAACTTTTCATTCACATAAGACGAATTAATTCGAAAACCGCAAGCATATAAGATTCCAATACTTCCTCTGTACCTGAATAGTGAGATTTTCAAAATGTCTATCATAGCATCAACATTCAACAGAAGTCTGTGTAGCATCTCAAACAGAGAATTTGAATGGAATCAGGTAATCCATTTACGTGTTTTGGTTCAATGGTCATGTTCACCATATAATATCCTAAGATATGTGTATTGGATGTTTGTTCTCCTAAAGGTAGATGTCACCTGTCTCGCAAGGCGTTTGTTTAGAACACAGAGAAAAGAGGAGATGGGGAGATGAAATAAAAATAGCATAAAAGTAGTTTCCTTTACAAATGGAATGGGGAATGTGGATAAAACTATGCTAGCTATAAATGATTTCGTTAAAACGGGGAGGAAATCTGGAAAGAATTATGAAAAATACAAAAAGAAAGCTTAAATTGAAGTTATCTATACAGGTCGTTATATCCCATTTTAATACCCTTGGAGGTTCGCTAGATGAATATAAAATAACATAAAATTATACGAAACTAGATGGAGCCAAGCGTTCATATATTATTATAGCTATCATTCCAAACGGCAAGCAATTTTTCACATTTATTCTTTACCACTGCGTAATTATAATCTCCTGGTAGCTCGATAGAGACTAGCTCGAGTTGCGATGCCATAGAAATCTTCTAAATCATGATAAAGATGGTCACTTTACTTAATCTGTTCCGCCAAACTAAGTTAATGGCACTACAGGGTTAGGAAGTCATCCTATTCGTTGCCAGCAATCTGAAAGTTAGGCCACCTTTCTACATTTTACATTAATCTTTACATTAGTTTCTTGGATATAATTATTTTCATTCACTTGCTTCATTATCCCAAGATGCCATTGTTGCAGTAATAGTCTGTAAACAGTCTATTCACAAGATATGTGATGTAGTCGGAAGCAAAGAACTGCTGTCGAAGGTGCTCTGTCAGATAGCAGGAGAGCAGGTAATGAAATGTGTCCGCGTCTTCCCTGCGAAAACCGCCAGAACGTCCCGTCTGAGGAATCGTCTGTAATACGCTGGAAATTTCCCCTGGTTGGTACAGGCCTGGAAAAGTCGGCTGCATTTGAGCCTCTTGAGAGTAGGTATTGGGAAGATGTTGTAAGTAAATCTTCCTGTCTCTTCTTCCTGCCATCGTGATGACCATGTCTCTTGGAATGTTGTCTTGAGGAGCCTTTTTTCAACTTCTGCGGAAAGCGGAACTTCCTTGTCAATTTCTGGTTCGAGAGCTGCGGTCATAGCTAGTTCATCAGCTCGTTCGTTGCCTTTTTGCCTGGAATGTCCTTTTATCCAGTTGATCTTTAAAGGGATGGTGGAGCCTAACGTCAAGAGGATCTCTCTAAGAGCCTGCCGTGTGCGGATGTTTTGAAGGAAAGGAATTCAGCGCATTCAGAACGCTCATGGTATCTGTGAAGAATGAAGTGTGAGCGTACCTAACCATAGTGCTGCTTCTTTGAGAGTGAGGGACTCGGCTTGAAAGACTGAAGCGTGGTTGCTTAGATAGAATTGTGCTTGATAAATTTCTTCATTGTTCGAAAAGACCATGAACGCTGCCCCTACTCGTCCTGAAATTTTTGATCCATTAGAGAAAATCTCTCTTTGCTGTCCTAAGGTAGCGATTTGCACCAGGGAAGGATGGGTAAATCTCCTGGATGTAAGACAGGGTATCTTGGAAGCTTTCTACGCTGGCATAGGATAGATGTAAATCTTCTTTAGTGTGAAGGTTCTCTTTGTAGTGTACAAGTCGGTAGGTTGATTTTTTTAATTCTGCTTTTAGGTCGAGTGGGAGCGTGCTAGATAGAACCTGAAGTGCTGCGGTTGCGGTGGTGTTATAAGCACTGGTGATTTTTACTTGCTGTATTTGATGAAATTTTTGACATATTCTTGCTGTGCCAGTCATCCAGACTGAGCAGCCGTAGAGGATCATGCGTTCAATTGCATTTAGGTATAGGTGTTTTTTAATAGGCGTCCATTTTAGCTACACTTCTCTGTGATTATCCTGTTTAGTTTATTGATGATTCGATGCGTCTTATCTCGGACTTCCGTAAGATGTGATACCCACGTGAGCTTCTTATAAAGCATGAATCCGAGGTATTTAATGATATCCTTAGCTTCGGAGTGGATGCCCTTCCCAATTTATGCGTGGTGGATTCGCATCTATTTTTGAGTCCTTTGGAAAGACTCTGTGTCTTTTCAATATTGAAACACAGTTTGTTGTCTTGACTCCATTTGTAAGCAATTTGAGTGCTACGTCTGCTTTACGCTCTATTGTTGTCCTATTGTCTCCGTCTATTATGAGTATAATATCGTCGGTGTAAGCTTGTATCTTAGCATTGTCTCCAAAGTCGATGTTTAGCGCTGAGTCTGCAATTATGTTCCGCAGGATGGGTCCAATATCAGACCCCTGTGGGGCGCCTTTGTGGTAATTCATCGTAATATTTTGGTCGCCTCTTTTGTAGCTCACTTGACGTTCTGTGAGGTAGCTTGTGATCAGTTGGTAAAGATTCTTTGGACATCGCAGGTTTTTCAGTTTCGTTTTGAGTGCTGACCACCATAGTTTATTGAATGCTGACGCTACGTCAAGCGATATTATACATGTATGGAGGTTATTTAAGATGATGTTTTGAACACGGTTGAGGGCGTTGGTGGTGCTCCGCTCTTTAGTAAACCCGTATTGGGCGGGGTTTAATAGTTTGTTTTTGACCAGGTAATACATTAATCTCTGCGTAAGCATCTTATCAAGGACTTTGCCCTACTCTGAGAGTAAGCAGATAGGTCTGTAAGAGCTAGGCATGGACTTTGGTTTTTCCTCTTTCTGGAACAAGACCAGTTCTGCGTTTTTTCATTCCTTTCGAAAATAACCTAATTCAAGACACTTGTTAAAGAGTGGTAGAATTTGTTTGTCGTCCGCGAGCCTAAGCTCTTCTATGGTTTCAATCGTGAGACTATCCAGACCAGGAACTTTACCTCTGAGTGTTGAGTTTATCGTATGTTGCATTTCTTCGAATGTTAACGCCTGATCGTCTTTCGAGTTCGGAATCTCGGTTGATTGGGCCGGATATCTGCGTGATATGTAGAGTCTCATCTTCTGGAATAATGGAACCTCATTATTTCCCTAATTGTATCCTCAATTGTATTCTTCATTGTGTCATCGTCTTTTTGAATTGAACTTATCTGTAATGGACTCATGCTCTTCCCTTTAGCTATATCAAAATATGTTCCGAACGGAGAGCTGACAGTGATTTTGTTTCATGTCATGTCCCATGCTATTTTTCTTTTCTTTAGACGTCTTTTTTTGCCGGCACTGTGCACGTACCCTTTGGTAAAGCAGCCTGTTATGAGCCCTTTACTCTCTAGTTAGTTTTTGGAATCTCTTCCATGTTGCTCTAACCTTTCCTCTGAGAACAGTGAGATTCTTTGTCCACCATGGGCATGTGCGCGGTCTTGGTTCCGAGTTATGTGAGGGAACCGGTTTTTGATAGATCTTGTGGAGACTAGTGGTAACTTCTCTTATATATTTAGCGATTTCTTCGATAGTTGTCAGATTTCTAGTGTCTGCTAGAGATTTTCAGACTTCCCTTTTGAAACTTAGCCAGTCGGTATGTACATTGATTTTCGTTCTTCGCTATGGTAATTAATGCTGGAGAGGTCAAAATAGATATTATTATGATCGCTATTGTTTGCTTCGTCCGTTACCTTCCAATTATCGAACCTGATTCTGTCTCTACTCAAAGTGTGAGGTCAATCCAGCTGTTGCCACTTACTCCTGCGAAGGTTGGCGTATCCCCTATCTCGTTGACAATCGATAGTCCAGTGATGGCTATGAATTCGAATACTTTGAGGCCTCGTGTGTCCGTATTATGTTAGCCCCATAGAGGACGTTTGGATTTGAAATCTCCTGTAATTATTGTAGTCATGTTGTTATTATCCTGCATAAACTTTTCTAGGGTTGTCAGGATTGGTGCAATGTCCTGCGATGGAGGACAGTATACCGTGATTAGTATAAATCTCGAGTCACTGCCTATTGCAAACGCTATAATCTCCGGAGAGCTGAAAAGTTCCAGAACTGGGAGATTTGAGTCCGCTATAATCACTGCAGTTTTTGCTTCGAGAGTAGAACTTCCTATATTTTGTGGGGAATCCGTACAGTTTGTTTTGTACTGTCTACGGTTCCTGGATACATGCTATAGCCTGTTATGGTAAAGCAGTTTGTTTGTTGTTCTGTTCAAAATTTATCTTTAAGTTGTTTGTTGCACTCCTGGAGTGCTTAAGATTAATCTGAATTATTTGGATACTATCCATAATATATTCGTTGATTTAGTCCTTCGAGCTCTTTTAGGTAGCATTGTGCATTTCTTACCTCGGCTATCATGTTGGGCATGGACGGCCTGTATTATAACGTTTATTCATCTTGGTGCAATTGACACATCTGACTTTTTTTTTTTTTTTTTTTTTTTTTTTTTTTTTGTTCACAATTGGTCTTCTCGTGGTTTGGGTTCGTCGACTACGGAGTTGCAGTAAATCTCGTGACTCAGTGCATTTCTATATCTTTCTTATTAGATAATGGAATTTACAACCTTTAAGACTAAGAAGCGTGTAGCTAAAGCTAAAGGAGAAAATTACAGTGACTTACGATTCTGCAGATTTCGCTCTGTTAGAACTTTTTAAATCCAGATTAAATAATGTAATGACTGAAATTTCGGATATTTTTAACAACATTTTTGTAGTGTGTAAAGAGAAAGATATTTACGTGTTTATAGAAGAACAGCAAGTTATACAAGATACTGTTGATGTGTTATTTTTAACGCTAACTAGAGTTAATGTTGAGAATGTTAAAGATATAAGCGTGGAAGCTAAAATTTGTGAATCAGCGAGTACTCGCTTACATAAGCTAATTCTGCCTCTATTTAGCGGTAGTGCTGAAGCATGGTTAACATTTTCCGATTTATTTAAAATGGCGAAAGTGGATAATGATCGATTATCGGTTGCGCAAAAGCTACAATATTTAAAGAGCTCTTTAAAAGAAGATGCTTTAAGGATTGTTCAGGGTTTAACTATTTGTGATAGAAATTTGGAAATTGCTTGGAATTTACTGTGTCAAAAATTTTCATACAAGAGAGAATTACTTTCATCGTTATTAAAGAAAATCTTGTATTTATCAAATTTACAAGGTGAAAATCCTAGTCAGTTATTAGCGTTAGTAGACACCGTAAGAGAATGTGTTTGACCGTTTGAAAATTTGAGATTCAAAGTGGAACAATACTATTTTAATGATAATAGTGCAATTTAAATTAGATTCTTTGACGAGAGGATGGTGGGAAAGAACATTAAAGCTTGAGGAAATACCAACCCTTAATGAGCTGTTAGAATTCTTGAAATCTCATGCCAGAACTCAGCAAGCAGGTAAGCCACAAGGGTTTTGAAAATAAAGTACGAGAGACAAATTAACTTCATTCGCTTCAGAGATTTGCTTACAGTATACATATTATAAAGCCGGTGTTTCAGTATTGAAATGTAATAAGTTTTTAAATCTTAATGTTCAGAAGCGTGTTAATTTTGTCAAGAAAAACAATGTTTGTTTTGATTGTTTAGTTTCAAATCATAAAGCTTTCGGGCCCACCAGCGACTAAGCGGCAAAGACGCTGAACACTGGTAGTTCGGTCCGAGGTTCGAATCCCGCGAACAGGCTGGCTGCATGGGCATTTTCGTGGTTTTTTCCGTGTGTAACGTGTATACGAGCCAGTTTCCCTTAGAAAGATCTCCACGAAGGCATCCCTCCCTTTAAGCAAAACGTCCTCGTGTGCTTTGCCATAATTAAATAATCCAATCCAATCCATAAAGCTTTCGAGTGTAGAAGTACTGTCTGTCTACGAGAACAGCTCCCGCCACTGTGTCTGCTGGGTTGCGGCCGCTATAGCAACAGGGCTAGTATATTTCAAATAGGGACGAACCAAGGGTTGCTTTATTGTTATTTTGTTTTTGGTGACTGTTGGCTCAGGAAAAAAGAGTGTATCATTCGCCTTCAAGACACCCCTACGGAAAATAGGTCAAGGCTAGTTTCTAAGGCAAAAGACAGCTGCAGACTAACTGGCGAGAGCTGACTGAATATTTTTAGCTCGACTAAGTTCAAATCCGGAGAATATGGTCAATTTTCATAGTTTTTGCGAATGTGTAATGTTAATATCAACTAGTTATTCTTAGAACGTCCTTCACGAAGGTATCACAATGTCTAAACAGTTATATCTCATTTACTTTGGGTGATCGGTTTGGGTTCAAATCCTGGCAAACGGGCTGGCTGCATGGACGTTTTCATGATATTTCTCCTATATAACCTTGGTACGAGCCAATTTCCTTTACGAAGTCTTCCCCGAAGGCATCCTTTTTTTCACGCAGATAGCCATCGTGTGCTTACCCATAATGAAACAAACCAAACTTCACATTCTTTGTTGTTGTTATCAATTAACTGAGACATTTAAATGAATAGTAAGAAATCCGAGTTCAAATTATTTAATAAAATGTAAAACAGTTCCATCGGCTGATTTATGAATTAAGGTAAACCTAGGAAAAACCACATAAATAAAATATGAAGAATTTGAGAAAACATTTGCAATGAAATCTGACAGCTGAATAAATTTGACAGCAGATTTGGTTAATTTTTGAAAATAATTTTATCATAATGATATGGTAGCAACAAAAATATTCTATCAATGTATTAAGGATGGATGACTCACCGTATGAAAATGGACTGTAGCTGTCTGGCTGGTAATTAACCCGCTTTCCGTCATCCAACAAGTAACGCTCTGGGATGAATTTCTCAGGTTCGGGCCAGTATTTTGGATCGTTGTGGAGAAGCCAGGTGTTCACTAAGATGTAAGTGCCTTTTGGTATGTCGTAACCCTGTACTTTTATGTCTTCGCTTGTCCTGCGGGGAAAATAATACAGTTATTAGCATTCCTTTTTTGTTATGAGAGTCGTTATGCCGGTATTTCATCGAAAGTTTCTATTTGAAACCTATATAAAAAACTCGTTCAGAATATGTAAGAAATTAAACAGAAACATAAGGTACGCAAAATCAAAGTAAGCAAGGATTATTAAAGTTATATATTTTAAATTTAATATGCTATAAATTATATTATTACCGTATATTCCGGCGTATAACGCGAGCCTGTAATTTGAAAATACCTTAAACTACATTTATTAATAATTTTTAGGTATATTCGCCGTATAACGTGCATCCTTTTCTTTACGAAGAAACCTGAAAGATACATGTGCGAAGCTGTATCTTTTGAAGTCATTTGTTCGAAGATTTTTCTCAGGAGTTCAAACACTGGTGTACTGAAATGATTAGCAATAAGGGGAACAATACATGCTTGGAAATGCTTGAAAGAGTAATTAATCCTGTAAAGACGGTGGATTGTATTCAATGCAGAGATGGGCACAAGAATGTTATTCTATGTTTCGAGATAGAAAAGCGACAGTTCTATTAATTGTTAGTTGTTGTATTTTAAAATTAGGAAATGGAGCTTAAGTAACAATGTATACGTCAATGCCTTAACGACCAATCGGAAGAGATCCTGTTTTTAGCATATTTGGAAAACCTACGAATAACAGGAACTCAAAATCATTCCTTCTCTTTCCAATAAAAACAGTTAAATAATGCATTCCAGACTAGAAGAATGGTCAGTAGTTGTTATGGAACCTAGTATTTTATTTTTCAGCAAAATAAAATGGTTAAATAATAATAAATAATAAAGACGCTATTGTTTACACAAAGTAAACATCTTTGCACGATTAAGTGATTTTATGTTAACATGCCAAAAATAGAAATATGAAAATAATTAATTTAAGATCATCATTCTTCCACAATTCCCCAAAGTTTGGATTTTTGTGCTGGGGCGATCATATTAGCGAAGCCAGCAGGATGGTGAATACTAGCTTGCACAACATATTTACCTTGTACAAAGTTTTCGGAGTCTGCTAAACAAAATTTGAGGCAAGTGTGATGTGTTAATTTATTAATACTTTTACATTAATAAAATCGCGAATTAGTTACAAACACAAACAGTAAAACCTCTAGCAAAAATAGTAGTAGAAGTAAACTGAGTCGGAATCATACTCATTGGTCTGTAATTACATAAAAAGTATTATTCGAGAAAATTAAAAATAATTATTCAAAAGATTTTTTTTTAAACTCATGAGCAGTCTTTTAGAAAGGATTAATTAAATGGTACACGTTAATGCGCACTGCAGAGCAAGTGTTATTCGAGAAAGAACGTTTATTTAAAAGTAAGCTATGAACTATTTTAGGCTTTTGTTTTAAAAGTAATTTTGTTTTTCCACACAATTAACATGAGGTCCAACACACTGAGATCATTCAAATCTTTGGATCCTAAGAAACTATTAAACATTTTCCCCCAAACTTTGGAATAACTACTTTTAATGATGCCCAGTATACAAGAATTCCCTAAAAAAAGAATATGATTTAAATTTCAGTAGTATTTGAATAATCAGCATCGCTCATTACGGACCTCACTAATACAATATATGCGAGACTATTTTAGTAATCAGAGTATACTGCGCATCATTGCAAATCTTGAAACTATCCCTCGAATCTTGCCGATAATTTTGGAACAACCTCTTCAATAGTTCCGCTAATTCTTTGTATACATAACCTATTGCTAATAAATCTACCAGGTCATGCCGGGCTATATAAACGCTTCTTCGAGCACATATTCCATCTGTCTACCAGTCGAACTCTTCAACCTAGCTGCTTAATTCTGGCATCCCTCCTCTTAGGCAGATAGCCCTAGTGTGCTTTGCCATAATTAAATACACCACCACACCTCTGACTGGAGGCAATAAGGAGAAGGAATATTAGAAGCTTGCCTTCTTTATTGCAATACTGGCCCAGCTGTCACTATTTGGTACTTGGACTATCCACTGTTAAATTATTGAATTTTTAATTCCTCAAACGTGCCATCTTCTGTGCTTCCAGCGTCCCACCTCTCAACAGTACATTGCAAGACCGCATTTTGTCCACACTGTACTATGTTTCCTCAGACCATAGAGTGTTCGACTTCTACTTTGATTGGCGCGTTCTCCAGCTCTGTAACTGAACATAACTAGATAACTAATCAAAAGTTAAAGAAAGACGCACGTTAACACTTGTCAACCATAGTGAAAGGTGAACTCCTCGAAATGAAGCCTCGTGAACAGTAGTACTGTAGTACTGGCATGAAACTGAAGCCTCGTGGACTTTAGTACTTACCACTACCATCCAAAATCTTTTTGACCAGCCATATAATAGCTGCTACTGCTGTTAGGGCCGGAGGCTCTTAGTACTCAGAATGTCATGTACACTGCAAAAAAAAAAAAAAAAAAAAAAAAAAAAAAAAAAAAAAAAAAAAAAAAAAAAAAAAAAAGAAAAAAAAGAAAAAAAAAAAGAAAAAAAAAAAAAAAAGGACAGCTTTATATCTCCCGTTCTACTGGGCCGATTGACGAAATTCAAGTTGCGTTTTTCATGTCTTCGAAAAGCACGACTTAAGGATATATATTAGATTTGTGATTAGTATTGTTCTGACATATTTATTTTGACACAAAACTAGACTTTTTCTGAAATAATGTATCAATTTTGTTTTTCCAGTATTTCGATTCTACGATTCAAATTATGCCTAAATATTAAATTTGATCAAATTTGGTGCGAAATTTACGGAAAATTCACAAAATTATCTTGGCGTCTTTTTTTTCAGTTTGTGCCAGGATAATTCACTTGGCGAACTTCTTAATATATGGCAACCCATTTCCTTTCCCTTCCATTGTGAAGGACAGGGAAAAAGGTCACATCGTTCCTACCATTTACATTGTGCATAAGCGGGAAAATGTCCCATCGTTCCCCTTTCAAATAATTTTAAACAAGTGCCTAAACCACATTTGATATTATTATCGCTTTCAATAAATTATGGCAAATTTTAAAATGCGCGAATATATAAATTCACGTATACCTTTGGAAAGTTTTGAATAAAAAACATTTTAATTTTTTGCAATGTATGCTTAGAAATACATCTAAATTAAGATGATTGGTAAAAAGTTTATAGATTATAAGTTCAAATAGGTTTTTCGAAAAATTTATAAACATTATTTAAAAATACAAATTTTAAAAATAAATCATAGGAAATGGGCGAATTTTATTTGGAATGAAACTAAATTCCAAAATGTGAAAGGAAGAATAAAAAAAAGCTTAATAATATAAAAAGATATTAAGAAATATATACCAAATTCAATTAAAATTGAGGAGGTAAAATTTTGAAAAACTACTTGTGCGATTTTTTACAACACTTGGCAGTTTGCATAATTTGAGTCGTAGAATCGAAATATGGGAAAAAGGTGTCATTTCAGAGAAATTCCGAATTTGTGTCAAAATTCCTATATTAGAGCAAAGCTATATATAAATCTAATACATATCTTAAGTCGCGCTTTCGAGATATGAAAAAAGCAAGTTGAATTTTATCAATCGGCCGAGTAGAACGGGAGATATTAGAATTGTCTTTTTTTTTTTTTTTTTTTTTTTTTTTTTTTTTAAAACTACATTGCTCTCAGATTTAATGAAAAATTGTTGAGCGAGCTTAGAGATACATTTAAAATTATCTCCTGACTTATGAAAAGTTAATATGGAAGTTTGCATTGATATGCCGTTGTTGTAATTTTGTAGTTGTTTTTCTTTATTATTTATTATTGACACTGAGTTTACAACAATTTTTTTGTAAATCATGTTTTTTATTAATTTTGCGTAATTTTCGTACTTTGTGTTCAATTAATTCATAATGAGGCAAGTTGAGTATATACTCGGTGAAAATTTGTAAATAGCATAAGAAGAATTTCAGGTATTGTCTCCTAGTGGCCGTTGCCAGTCTAGCAATATTTAGCAATTTCTGACCAAGCATGGAAAAATGTTGGTATGATTCAGTAACGAAATCTGAGTAACGTAGGAATACTTAAAACAGTTATTTCCAAAAACTCCAGCAATCGCTTTCTTTTTCAGCAGCACAATATATTAGAACGCCCGTCAATATATTTTAGAATTGATGAATGAGCTGTCGGTGATTATTCAGTGAGTAAGGTAATCTATATTTCTGAAATCTGAAATTATGAATTTTCAATCAAACGAGTGTGGGGATAATTTTTCTGCGTAGAAAAGCTCCGAAGAATTCTGAAGAAAACATCTATTATTTGCCACACCATTGTGTAATCAGAGAAGATCACGATTCTACGAAATTAAGGGTCGTATTTGATGCTTCCTCGCATACTCATGACAGTCTATCTTTAAATGATTGTTTACATTCAGGACCAAATTTAAACCCTGAATTATTAGATTTGCTAATTAAATTTCGTCAACACAAAATAGCATTTGCTGCAGATATCGAAGTTGCTTTTTTACAAATTCTGTTGAAGCCTGAGGACAGAAATGCAGTAAGATTTCTTTGGACTTGCAAAAGGAAAAGGAGCAACCGACGATTTTAAGAATGACGCGTGTAATATTCGGAGCAACCTGTAGCCCCTTTTTTTTTTTTACTAGCTGCAACTATAAAGCATCACGCAAGAAAGTTGAAAGCACAATATTCGAAGATCTGTCAGCTTCTAGAAGAAAATTTTACGTAGATGATTTGATTCATGGTACAGATGATGAAGAAGAAGCTGCAGAAATTTATGAAGATGTGAAAAGAATTATGATGCTTGCTAGTTTTCAATGTGAGAAAGTGGAGGAGCAATAACGCCCAATTACATGCGATTTGGAATGCAGCTGAAAATACGAAGTTTAATGGAGACGGAATGAATAGCACTTTGTTAGGATATATTTGGAATTCATGAAGCAGATAAACTGAAATTTTCGAATCAAAGATGAATTAACTCAAAGGATCCTGCTGAGGAAATAACAAAACGGAAGATTCTTCAAGTTGCAGGCGAACTATACGATATCCTATCGGCTTTCATATCTCCCTTTGTTGTTGCAGTTAAAATGATGATGCAAGAATGTTGGCAAAGAAGGTTACCAATGGGATGCACCACTTGATCAAGAATTGCAGAAACCAATTTAAAACCTGGTATAATGAAATTCCTAAATTAAAAAATGTTGAAATTCCAAGACATTATTTTCAACAATCTATCAAAGGAAATCTGTGGAATATAATCGAATATTCAGAATATTCATTTGCACTGTTTTACAGATAGTAGCCAAAAGGGATATGGTGCCCGTTGCATATTTGAGGATACAATGAAAATGAGCTAACAAAAACATCATTTGTTATGTTCAAAGCAAGAGTTGCTCCCATACAAAAGGTTATGTTACCTCGACTGGAGCTTTTAGGAGCAGTCATAGGAGCTCGACTCATCACATACATTCGACATTCGTTGAAAAATATAGAAATGAAGATTTATATGTGGACAGATTCAGAAGCTGATCCAATGAAATGGAAACCATTTGTACAAAATAGGTGTCTAGAAATCCAAGAGAAATCTGATCCAGATTGGTGGAATTATTGTCTCATTCATGAGAATCCTTCGGACTTAATAGACGAGAGGGCAAAAGGTAGAAACCCTTTCAAAAAATGAACTGTGGTGGTTTGGCTCACCTTGGCTTGTTAAAGATAACAACGTTTGGCCCAGATCTTCGAGAAATTTTAAGGAAGATGATAAAATAACAAATTCTGAGAAACGAAAAGGAAAGAAGCAAGAAATTTTAACAGCAAACTGTATTGTTGAAAATATCATTCCTATCGAGAACTTTAGTGACATAAAAAAGGTATATAGAATAACATCTTATGTTTTCAGATTTATCAATAATTTGAGAAACCCAAAACTAAGAAGCATTGGACCTGTTAAGGCTGAAGAGATGAATGAAGCAGAGAATTTCTGGATCAAGAAAACTCAGGAAGAAAATTTTAGAGAAGAAATAAGGAAATTAAAGATGAAACAAAGCATACATAGTTCGAAAAATATTTACATTAAAATCCATTTGTAGACTCAAATGGAATACTCAGAGTAGGAGGAAGGCTTCAAAATGCTGGGTTAAGCTATAATCAAACATACCCAGCAATACTACCTGAGAAGTCTCATTTCACAGATCATATCATTAAAGATTGTCCCGAAATGCAAGCACACGCTGGTGTAGCTGAAACTTTAACTCAAATTAGGGAAAAATTTTGGATACTTAAGGGTCGACAGCGTGTAAAGAGTAATATTAACAAGTGTGTGATTTGCTACAGATTTAAAGCTAAGCCACTATGTCAGGATATCGCTCCTTTACCAATCGAAAGAATAACAGAGGCAAATCCCTTCGAAGTTGTAGGACTTGATTTTGCTGGTCCTATGAGTACAAACGGATGAAACTGGGAAAGCTTATATTGCTCTGTATACATGCGCTGTAACCAGAGCAGTGCATCTGTAACTTGTGTCTAGCCAAACAGCAAACAATTTTCTTTCTGTCCTTTAGAAGATTTATTTCCAGAAAAGGAGTATGTCGAATAATATATTCAGACAATGTAAAAACCTTCAAAGAGTGCAGACAAGGATTTACAAAAACTATGGAAATACCATCAAGGACACAGAGGTTCAAAATTATTTTGGTAATAAAGGTATTGAGTGGAAATTCAATGTGGAGAAGGCGGCTTGGTGGGGCGGTTTCTGGGAAAGGCTTTGTTAGATCTATCAAGTCATGTTTGAAGAAAATACTCATGAAGGCTTCACGTAAATTTGAAGAGCTGGAAAACAGTTTTTAATTGAAATTGAGGTGATATTGAATTCGCGTCCACCTGACGTATGTTTTATAGTGAAGTTGGAGAACCAGAACCGCTGACGCCAGCTCATTTTCTAGTTGGACGAAGACTGACATCCTTACCATCTGGCAAAATTCTTGAACCTGATTCAACTAAAGAAAATTTAACAAGGCGATATAAATACCGGCTAAGGTTATTAGAAGAGTTTTGGAAAAGATGGAAAAGAGAATGTTACTTACTTGAAATTAGAAACGTAAAACAAATTCAGAGAGGTAATGCCGTAACAGATCTTTTGAAAGGCTCTGTAGTTCTAGTACATGAAAAAAAATTACCAAGATTATTACGGAAGATGGGAGCTGTACAGGAGTGTCATCCAGGGACGAGATGGGAAAAACAAGAGCTTGCACTGTCCGTTTAGCTAATGGAACTCATCTTCGTCGTCCTGTGCAGTTATTGTACCCATTAGAAATGACTTGAACTCTTTAAACTGAATACAATGAACTTAAATTGCGAACACTGCATCTATGAACATTTAAACTTGTAGAACATTAAAAACATTTAGTGTTTAAGATAACTTCAGAATCCAATCCTTTGATGAACCAAGAGTTCATCGAGGGGGAGGATGTTACAGTTTATGTAGCTGGCCACGAGAGGGCGTAGCGTTTTTTACTTTTAGCTTGTTATATTTTTCTTACCGCATTGAGGATTTTTGAGATAGATGTAGTGGCAACCAAAAAAACATGATGAATGTTCTAATGTAAGCATACAATTCTTGTACATAGATGTAAATAAAGCTTCTGTGTGATAAAAATGAAAAGGAATTCCAAGCGTTCCTGTGGATATTTATTAAGAAAGGTAAGCAAAATTTCACTTATCGATGTTGTTAAATGTAAATAATAAGAATAAGAAAAAAGATCATAAGTTACAACATAGCATTTTTCAAATCGGTACAAAGCATACCATATCATCTTCGAGATGTAAGACTTCAAACAGCTAAACTGTGCTAATCAAGAAAATAATCTAAAGGCTGCAGAAGTCCTTTATTCAAAAGTAAATTTCTAAAACAACAAGGTAGAAGACAAAAATATCTATATAATACGCGACAAGAAAAGTTTGTAAACTAAGCAAACTACGGTTTTCAAAAGAGAAAATGATCACCTCTAGATGTGAGACGAGATGTACACCATATGTGTATATACGAGGTTCTCGATGATTTCCAGGCATGGCATATTTATACTTTCTTGGAGGGCAAATCGCGGCGGTAGAACCTTTTTGACGGCTAGCCTTTTTGACACTTTGCCTGGAGTCTCCCAAGAATTTCCCACATTCCATTCGATTTACACTTATGTCCATAAATTAAGGATAATGCAAAATCAGGTAAAGGAAGAGTTAGAAGCAAAACAAATTTGACTTATTTGTAAAGCTTATTTATTAAACAAAAGGTAAAGAGCAAAAAAAGATGCTATATGTTTGATATTATTAAAAAAATTTGCGATTTTTTCTCCCTGGAGCAAATTACAAAAAAAAAAAAAAAAAAACCTATTTACAAGAAACTCATATTACATGGTTGGTATGATTGTTAATACATTGTATGTCTCCCAGACGATGTAATACAGTCCGTACAACGCCTAGGCATGCTGAGTATCAAATTATCGATCTGATCTTGGGGGATATTACACCACTAAAAAGCAATGCTCTCCGAAGTTCCTGTAGACATGTAGGAGGAGGTTGACGGGCTGCAACTCGTGGGCCAAGCATGTCCCACACGTGCTCTACTGGATTCAAGTCCCATTCAAACCTTAAATTTTAAAAAGCAACGCCGTCGCATCAATATGTACTTTTTTTTTTTTTTTTTTTTTTTTCTGTATTCCAAGTCCCAACGCAATTTTTATAGAAAAATGTTGAGATCTTTTACCTTTTTTTAATCTGCACCATCTTCATGAATGAAATGTATTTTGATGCAAAGCCGTTAAAGGCTATTAGTGCTTACTGAATCTATTGAATTGCTTACTGATTACCTCGAAGATTCTCCTAGAACAGAAGAAAAAAAATCCTCTTGCAATTACGTTTATTGACTGATTTTTGGCCTTATTACGTAATTTAAATGTAGTTAATACGTATGCAATAAATAATTTTTTTTTTCAGTTATATGTCACCGTTCGTTTTCTTTCGTTAAAAAAACCCCGCCTAACTGCACCAAGAGAGTTCTGCTATTACATTATTACATTTGGTTTTAGAAAAGGTATTTATTGAAAGATTATAAATAATCAATTAAGTCTACTTCCAAGAAAAGTAAATACTCACGTAATTAATTCGTTAAATTCGGATAGTTTTTTCAGAGATATGGAATCATTGAAGTTTCCGATTTTCCCAAGTAGTTTGACCAACCAAGGGAAAACGGCGGTAACTGATACTGAAGGAAACGATCTTACTACCGAATCCACATATTGACTCATTGCAAGCGTAGCTGGGTGGCCAAGAGGTAGTCGGTTTCCGAACAGCAGAGTCATTATGTTGTTAGCAAAAGTAGATGAAAAAAACTCAGAGACATCCAAGGGCTTTCCATCCTCTTGTTGCATCAGATTCACCAATTCATTGATTTCTTCCTAGTTGAAATATAGAAAATTATTATGTGATTTGGCATATTTAAAATACACTGCTGGCTACTAAAATTACTACATCATGAAGGAAGCGAAAAAAAATATGAAATTATCATGAAAGGTAGAAAATGTTGAGCTGTTAGTATATCGTGGCTTCGCACATTGCACATAAGAGTAATAATACTTCGAACCAGTATAAAAAGGCAGGCTGAAATGCCAATTTTGCATTTCATAATCTTGTTTTCTGATTGTTTTCTGTTTCGATGGTCGTGTTTTGCCTCATGTAAGAAGAAAAACTCATACCAACAGCAATATAAGTTCAATCGCCCTACGCCGACTTGCTCCGACGAGAGGACACTTACAGTTCCTCGCCAAACCAAAGCAGCTTCCGGACTACTGAAAACGATTTTATGTGCCTTATGTTAAATGTACTACAAGATCAGCTCTATCTCCCTATTGGAAACTTCCCGCAGATTGGTAGTTGGTCCGTTCGCCACTTTCTCTCTGGGAAACTTTTCCGTTCGTTCACCGTGCCGAGGTGGAGCCTCGGAGGGAGTCCTGCGGACATATTGCGGGTCCTCATAGAAAAACTGTGCATAAAGTGTCTAGATGTAAGGGAGCACTATGTTCAGAATGTACCGGATATCCAGGAAAACGATGATTCCTTCAATTCCCTTGGGACTGCATCAAAAAGATCAGCGTCTATAATGGTACGTTCAATAATGCGCATGGACTCATCATGATGTGATGGCCTTTTCTGAAGAATCTCGCCTTTTCTTACAGCAGAATCATGATATCCGTATCTCTGACTGGAGGTTCGCCCACCAGCGGCCGAGCGGTAAAGTCGCTGAACACTGGTAGTTCGGTCCGAGGTTCGAATCCCGCGAACGGGTTGGCTGCATGGGCGTTTTCGTGGTTTTCCCCATGTGTAACGTGTATACGAGCCAGTTTCCCTTAGAAAGTCCTCCACGAAGGCATCCCTCCTCTTAGGCAGATAGCCCTAGTGTGCTTTGCCATAATTAAATACACCACCACACCTCTGACTGGAGGCAATAAGGAGAAGGAATATTAGAAGCTTGCCTCTTTATTGCAATACGGCCCAGCTGTCACTATTGGTACTTGGCTATCCACTGTAAATATGAATTTTTAATTCCTCAAACGTGCCATCTTCTGTGCTTCCAGCGTCCCACCTCTCACAGTACATTGCAAGCCGATTTTTGTCCACACTGTACTATGTTTCCTCAGACCATAGAGTGTTCGACTTCTACTTTGATTGGCGCGTTCTCCAGCTCTGTAACTGAACATAACTAGATAACTAATCAAAAGTTAAAGAAAGACGCACGTTAACACTTGTCAACCATAGTGAAAGGTGAACTCCTCGAAATGAAGCCTCGTGAACAGTAGTACTGTAGTACTGGCATGAAACTGAAGCCTCGTGGACTTTAGTACTTACCATACCATCCAAAATCTTTTTGACCAGCCATATAATAGCTGCTACTGCTGTTAGGGCCGGAGGCGCTCTTAGTACTCAGAATGTCATGTACACTGCAAAAAAAAAAAAAAAAAAAAAAAAAAAAAAAAAAAGAAAAAAAAAAAAAAAAAAAAAAAAAAAGGACAGCTTTATATCTCCCGTTCTACTGGGCCGATTGACGAAATTCAAGTTGCGTTTTTCATGTCTCGAAAGCGCGACTTAGGATATATATTAAATTTATATATAGTATTATTCTAACATAGGTATTTTGACACAAAAAGGGCCTTTTTTTGAAATAACATACCAATGTGTTTCCATATTTCGATTCTACCATTCAAATTATGACTAAATATTAAATTTGATCAAATTTGGTGCGAAATTTACGGAAAAATTCACAAAATTATCTTGGCGTCTTTTTTTTCAGTTTGTGCCAGGAATAATTCACTTGGCGAACTTCTTAATATATGGCAACCCATTTTCCTTTCCCTTCCATTGTGAAGGACAGGGAAAAAGGTCACATCGTTCCTACCATTTTACATTGTGCATAAGCGGGAAAATGTCCCATCGTTCCCCTTTCAAATAATTTTAACAAAGTGCCTAAACCACATTTTATGTTATTATCGCTTTCAACAATTATGGCAAATTTCAAAAAGTGCAAATATATAAATTTATGTATATCTTTGGAAATTTTGAATAAAACATTTTAATTTTTTGCATGTATGCTTAAATACATTTACTTAAAAATGATTGTAAAAATTTTATAGATTATAGTTCAAATCTTTTTTCGAAAAATTTATAAAAATTATTTAAAAATACAAATTTAAAAAATAAATCATAAAAAATGGGCGAATTTTATTTGGAATGAACCTAAATTTCGAAATGTGAAAGGAAGAATAAAAAAAAGTTTAATAAAAAAGAGAGATTAATAAATATGTACCAAACTCAATTAAAATTGAGGAGGTAAAATTTTGAAAAACTACTTGTGCGATTTTTACAACACTTGGCAAGTTTGCATAATTTGAGTCGTAGAATCGAAATATGGGAAAAAGGTGTCATTTCAGAGAAATTCCGAATTTGTGTCAAAATTCCTATATTAGAGCAAAGCTATATATAAATCTAATACATATCTTAAGTCGCGCTTTCGAGATATGAAAAAAGCAAGTTGAATTTTATCAATCGGCCGAGTAGAACGGGAGATATTAGAATTGTCTTTTTTTTTTTTTTTTTTTTTTTTTTTTTTTAAACTACATTGCTCTCAGATTTAATGAAAAATTGTTGAGCGAGCTTAGAGATACATTTAAAATTATCTCCTGACTTATGAAAAGTTAATATGGAAGTTTGCATTGATATGCCGTTGTTGTAATTTTGTAGTTGTTTTTCTTTATTATTTATTATTGACACTGAGTTTACAACAATTTTTTTGTAAATCATGTTTTTTATTAATTTTGCGTAATTTTCGTACTTTGTGTTCAATTAATTCATAATGAGGCAAGTTGAGTATATACTCGGTGAAAATTTGTAAATAGCATAAGAAGAATTTCAGGTATTGTCTCCTAGTGGCCGTTGCCAGTCTAGCAATATTTAGCAATTTCTGACCAAGCATGGAAAAATGTTGGTATGATTCAGTAACGAAATCTGAGTAACGTAGGAATACTTAAAACAGTTATTTCCAAAAACTCCAGCAATCGCTTTCTTTTTCAGCAGCACAATATATTAGAACGCCCGTCAATATATTTTAGAATTGATGAATGAGCTGTCGGTGATTATTCAGTGAGTAAGGTAATCTATATTTCTGAAATCTGAAATTATGAATTTTCAATCAAACGAGTGTGGGGATAATTTTTCTGCGTAGAAATCCAAGTCTGAAAAAATTCTAGAGTTCTTAATATTTTAAAGGAAATTTTAAATTAAGAAACACTTTTTTTCACTACTCAGGAATGTTGATGGCTGTTACGTCAAGCCCTTTATTTCGGAAATTCAGAAGGTATATACACACTTTTGGAACGATTTCAGGTCCTTTAAAATATAAAGAGTATTTTTTAAATGTTCTATCTGATAGCTTTTTTTTTTTTTTTTTTCTGCACCAAACTTCTGCATGTGATTTTCATGATAAGAGGGGTTTTCGTAAAATTTCTCGAGATTACTCAGTGTCAATCTTAGTTCCTCTTCCACTACTTTGCAGCGTCTATCAGTCATCGAGGGATTGCGCTTAAAAAGAGCTCTTTTCAGGAGATTAAAGTCATAATAGCCCGTAGAATGAAACATCAGGGAACTTCACTGGAATATGTTAAAAAGGTATAAATGCAACACCTGTATTAGTTTCCATTTTTCAAGAAATATAATAGTACTTTTCGAAATATGAGCTCTTGGTTCGTCTTAATGAAGTTTTAGGTCTGAATGTCACTGGCACAAAAAAACGTAATTTCTTCTGTGGATATTCTATAAACTCTGAGTTAATTTTAACATTTTTTCCCGCTATTCTTAAATTCTAATTTTAATTTTAATTCCCAATGTAAGAAGAACCTTCCCCCCCCCAGTCATTTAGGTAAAATCATGCTTTATTAAAGGGTACAATGTATTTTCCTTTATCTCCTGCTAAATTGTTTCCACATAGATTCTGCAAATTCTTTTGCGCTGAGCCACATATCTCGGAGAAAGCTAGTGCACATTACATTTTTTAAAATGTAAATTTTAGTTTGTTATTTTATTTATTGTTGCTGCAGATATATCGTGTTTTAACGACAGTTTCCCGCCGTCGCAAATATGGTCTACGCAAACAGTTTGCTTTGGCGTGTTTAATCATACTTTGTCAAACAAGTTTTGGCATTTAAAAGAAGGAGACTTGCTTTGGAACACTGTATTATGAAATTTTTAAATTAAATATCGTTATCATTAAGTACAAAGTGTCTAAATTGGAACTATTACACTATCACATTAGAACCATCATTTACTTCCAGTTTTGTTGCAAAACAAACCTACAGTATGTCGCCAAATCATGTGTGCAACTTTAGGTACTGATGTTGTATCATATGGCACTGTGAAGGTTTCGTTCCGAAAGTTCAAAAACAAGAACTAGGACATTCAAGAAGCAAAGCGCTCTGGCTGGCCCATTGATGTTGATGAGGCCCGTCTGCGCGAACTTCTGGAAGACGATAAGTTTGCATAGACGTTAGTGACATGTTCATTAGTCACACCATGCATCACTTAAACTTGACGTACAAGTTCAATTGCTGAGTGCCGCATGAGTTGACTCCCGCAGGTAAGAACAGACTGTTCGGGCCTGCCCTAATCTGCTCGTATATCATTGCAAGGACACAATTCTGGACGGAATCGTCATCTGTGAAGAAAAGTGGATTCACTTCAACAACACAGTCCGTAAAGGGTGTAGGTCTTCGCCCGGTCAGCTCGTCGACAGCGTCAGAAAGCGCAGTTTGACTAACAAAAAAGTCATACTTTGTATTTAGTGGGAATGTAGTGGAATTATTCACAAAGAGTATCTGGAAAAAGGTAAAATCTTCGACAGTAAGGTGTGCAG